AAGAAGCACATTCTCTCTGTCCAAGGGACGGTTTCTGGGGGTGCAGCACAGCGGGGGGGACACCGCTACCCCCCCATCACAGTCTTTTCCAGACAGACACCTGCGGACCCCCCCGAAGCCGAAGGCTTACAAGAACAGGACTTGCCGATGCGTTTTCCGAGCAGCATCCCTGACCCCCTATGAGCTGGGAAGAGTCGGAGAAGAGACCGACCCCCTTGGGACACCCACCCAGGCCCCTGAGTCATGTCCTGCGTGTCCTGGCTGTAACGGGCAGCCTGTCGCCTCTGACACGCGCCAAACCCTCATCACTGTTGCTTTGCTAATCCCGCTCCCTGCCCTTCCCATCCTGGGGCTGGCTCGGTGCTGCGGGGTGCGGGCACTCCCGGGGCCCTTTGCTATCCCGGGAGCTGACGGTCCCCCAGGGCGGCCAACCTTTCCGGGCGCCACACCCGGAGACGCAGGAGACCCACGCGGCCCTCCGCACACCCGCGGCCTCCGGCCTTTGGTCACCGAACCAGCATCTCGGTATTTGCAGAACCATCTTTTCATCCAACATCTCGTGCCGAATCATTGACATTTCGGCAGCAGGAATTTTTACAACATCAATGGGCTCCTGAAAAAATCGTTTTCTTCAAAGCAGAGACCCGAACGCTTCAAAGACAAGGGTTTTCTTTTTCTGTAAGTGACCCGGTGTGACACTGGAAACTCCCTTCCCCGCAGAGTTTTCGGAACCCTTCACGACTCGTAAGAAATGTGTCCAAATTCTGTCCGGGGTGGGGGGGGCGGGGAGGTGTGCGACGCGGGTGAGGGGCGACGGAACCCTGGCTCTCCCGGCCTGTTGACATGTTAGAAAGAAAAACAGCCCTGGTCGGTTTGGCTCAGCGGCTGGAGTGTCGGCTTGCGGACCAGAGAGTCCAGGGTTCGGTTCCCACTAGGGGCACGGACCAAAAAAAAACAACAATAACCTCTTTCAATAAAATGGTGCCGGCTAGAAAAGCCCTGGCCGGTGAGGCTCAGTGCTTAGAGCGTCAGCCTGCACACAGAAAGGTTGAGGGTTCAATTCCCCATCAAGGGCACATACCTGGGTTGCAGGTTCGATCCCCAGCCCCGGTCGAGGTCGTGTGGGAGGCAACCGATCGATGTGTCTCTCTCACATGGATGTTTCTCTCTCTTTCTCTCTCTCTCTCCATTCCTCTCTCTCTTTAAAATCAATACATTAAATTAAGGAAAAAGAAGAGGAAGTCATTGAAACAGTAAGGAAACAGGTGGATGAATGACGGTCAAACCTGCGCACACACCAAAGGACTGTCCTTCCCGTTTAGCTGCTGGACCAGCCTCAGCAGAGGCTGGTCACGTCGGTCACCCCGAGTTCTGGGCCTGAGTGCTCGTCTGTGAGTCAGTCTGCCTGCCCCGAGACCTTGTCAGGAGGGCCGTGGTGGGGACAACTCAGGCTAAAGCAACGTACATCAGGGTTCCTTGACCGTCCTTCATAGGAGGAGGCCCCTAGGGTCTGACGGGCACCGTGAGGGCAACTCTTCATAAAGTCTGGCTGGAAGGCCCCCGTTTCGGGAAAGGTACTTCATTTTATTCTCTTGTCTCCAGGAGACAACTGACAACTGACAACCGTCGCTGACTGACACCCACACCACGGCCTTTGCTGGGAGATTTGCGAGTAAATCGGCTTCTCCTCTAAGCGGACAGCGAGCCTGGGAGCCCTCCTTGCGTCCTCCGCCCAGAGCTTCCCCCGCACCCCTCCTGCCCTGCTGCGGCAGGGCCCCCGCCTGCGCCTGTGCTCTCCCTCACCCTTCACCTCCCGAAGTCGCTGTGCCCCAAGTCTCCCAGGGGACTTGTTCACTGTCCCTGCAAAGCTGTCCACCCACCGGCGTCCTGGCGGCGCCAGCCAGACAGAGACCCGTGCCCTCTGTCTCCGGTCTTCTCGGGGCACCAGCAGAGATGCCTGCCGTGGTCTCTACGGGGACTAAGGCTGGGTAGGTGTGTTTGCCAATGTTTCCGTGGCACCGGGTTCCAGAGGCAAACACTGGTGGGCAGAGTCAGGGAGGTCCCCGTGCCGGCTTGGGGACCCCAACCCCAGGTCTGTGCGGGAACAACAGAGGCCGCCCCGGCTGCGGGTCCCCAGCAGAGAGGAAACAAGGGCTCTTCCTAAAGCGGTTTGAGCACATTCTAGGTCAGGGGAGGCAGAGCCCCCCAGACAGAAGGAGCGGCGGGGGCGGGGCTGCCCGGATCAGGTGCAGCCACGGCAGAGGCCTGGGGAAGTTCTCCCCGGAGCAGGTTCTCTTTCTTTTTATCCTCACCCGAGGACATTTTTGCATTTATCTTCAGACAGAGCGGGGAGGGAGGAACAGAGAGAGAAACATCGATGTGAGAAAGACACATTGAGTGGCTGCCACCCCCACGACCCCAGCCGGGGCCGGGGACAAACTGCAGCCGAGGTACGTGCCCTTAGCGGGAACCGAACCCGGGTCTCTCTGGTCCGCGGGCGGACGGGGGAGCAGATTCCGAAATGCTGTCCGTGTTCTCTGAATCCTAGGTACACCAACTCCACACAGACCGAGGGGGGGAAGCAACGGAAAGTGTTCATTCCCCAGTTTGCAAATATTTTCTCCTGCAACCCGATTTCATTCAGCCGCATCCACTTTCCCAGGTCCAGGCTCAGTAGGGGACGAGCTGGGGATCCGTCATGAACACCCTGGACCTCAGTCGGCACCATCGTGGGCGCGAACGGAGGTCTCCCCACACCTGGTTCCACCCTGCCCCCGACAGCACACCGGCGTCTGGGCCCCAGGATGGAGTCCACTCTGACAGCTCAGGGGCCCTCACGGGGGCCATCAGAGGCTGGGGAAGCTCCCCGAGCGCCCGTCTTCCTGTGGTTTCTGGGGTCCCAGCCCCGGACATCGCTGAAACCGCTCACACAGGAGCCACAAGGTGCCGGAGCCCTTGGGGGACATTCCTGCGGCTCTGTTCTCCGCTGCTGTCCGGCTGTGTAGCCTCGGGTTCCTTCGGAGACACGGTTCCCTCTTTAAGGTAAAAGGGCCGAGAGGTCTCCGTGTGCGCAGGGCCGGCGGCGGAGGTGAGCGCCAGGAGCACCCACAAGGGGGCGCTGGTCCGGGTCCGCTTCTCCTGCTGAGGGGCCAGGGGCTCAGCGGCCGGCCTGCCCGCCCACACGCGTCTTCACAGATAACGTTGGACGGGAACACCTGTTCTATTTGCTTCTCGCCGGCCCACGGCAGCAAAGGGGAGCCAGAGACCCCGAGCCCGAGGGGGCCTGCCGAGCCTAGGACATTCACTGCCGGCCCCTCAAGGGTCACTGCGACTCCTAGATGCAGGGTGCTCTCCCCACGCCCCGGGAGAGTGTCCGCCCCCCTCAGGGCGCGGACACCACGGAGTTCCTCAAAGTTCAAAGACCCAGAAGGTCCGCCCGCACACCAGCCCTTGCGGGACTGAGCCCAAGAGGAGCAATCACGACCTCGGGGGACTTGCATTTCCCCAAAGCACAGAAGAAACTGAGCCCCCTACCGCTGGTGAGGAGCCCCCAGCTCCTTGCCCCTGCCCAGTCATTCCTGTCTACCATCTCCTGTGAAACTGTCCTTTTCTCTGGGTAATAAGAGAGCTTTTGGGGACAGATGCATTTTTTTTTTCTTTGCTGTGACCAAGGGGACAGATTGGTACCAGCTCGAATGTCCCCCAGCGGCCGCCACACTCTGATCCCCATCAGCTAAGTGTGCTTCTCGACACCGACGGCCGCGTGTTTAGCATTCGCTCTGCGGCCTACATCCCCGTCTTTATACCGATTCCAGGGCATGAAATTAACACGCAGCCAAGAACACTGAACGGTCCTACTGGGGACACAAGACAGGTCTAATCCCTAGGACAGTCGGCAGCCTGTGCAATACAATCGCACACCAAGCTTGTCAGAAGGAGCATCTCTGTGCTATTTCAGGAAAAAAGGCTTAAAAAAAAATTTTTTTTTTTATCCTCACCCGAGGACATTTTTCCATTTTTTGTTCAGATAGAGTGGGAGGGAGAGAGAGAGAGAAACATCGACGTGAAGGGACACATCGAGTGGCTGCCACCCGCACGACCCAACCAGGGCCGGGGACAAACTGCAACTGAGGTACATGCCCTTAGCAGGAACCGAACCCGGGTCTCTCTGGACCGCAGGCCGACTCTCTAACCGCTGAGCCAAACGGGCCAGGGCAAAAAAGGCATTTTTTTAAATGCAGCTTTAGTTGATCAGCCTGAAGACACGGAAGACAAGGGTCGCTTGACGTCGGCCACCGTGACACCTGATCTCCAAATGGTGCGGACTTTCTGCAAGGGGGTGGGGCACGGTACGATCTCGTGAAATAAAGCGACACAGACGATCGAGGTCTTAGACGATGTAAAGCTAGAGTTGGAACGAACGTGGGACGTCCTCTTACCCAGACCTTTCGCTGCGTGAGCTGACCCCCACCAGGACGTCAGCCGACACCTGGGATCAGAACCTCTGTCTCCTTTCGCCAGTTGGAGCGGGAATGCACCCAGATGTTGGAGGTGCAGCCAGAGGCCGCTCCTGCTGGGGGGATCCCACACATTGATGCTACTGCAGGGGGCCGAGCCCCACAATGACCACAGGTCTGCCTTCTTCATCACACCCTCCAAAGAAAGGAGCCAGTTCCAACAGCTACACCAAGGAGACTCCCAGTGACCCCCCGCGTCTGGTGATTCCCATCCACAGGCCTTTCACTGAGGGTACCTCTGAGATGTACCCGGAACCTGTGCCCACAGCGTCCGCGAGGGACCCCTTCCAGACACTGGCTATCGACACCAGGGCACACGCTGTTCCGGTGGTAAGAGAATTCTCCATGGGGACAGAAACAGACGTTCTACACGTGCAGATACCCCCGTGTCATGATCTGAAGTGTGAGCCACACACACAGACCGGGCTGTACAACGTCAGCTTCGCCAAATGGGACACACGTCACCGAATGCGGGGTGCTTACCAGCTGCTGGCCCTTGGGGCCCCACCCTGCATACTGCAGTTTCGCGTTGCTGACCTCCGGGGGGTCTAGACTTTGAGGGTCCCTGGAAGACAAAACACACGAAGCGAATTGGTGGGAATAAAGAATTTAAGAGGCTATAATTTTATCCTCCGCGGAGCCCCCTTCCCTTCCCCTCCCATCACAGCGACTCCAGCAGCTGTGCTGTTATCAAGTGACCGCTCCTGGGACTCCACTAGTCGTCTTCTGCACGTACGCAATTTCCACCACGCCGACTCGGGTCCCTCCCGGCCGAACCCCGGTGGTACGTATCCACCAAGTCAGAACGTGCAGAAGTGGGGGATCCCTTTCCCCACTGGGGGGTTCTCATGACATCTCGAAAAGAAGACTTTTCTAAGACTCGCACGGGAGAATGAGTGACCTTTATTTGCGTGCAGTTACAGCCCGCGGTTTGTCCAAAGTCCCATTTCCTTCAGTCCGGTCCCGGAGGAGCACAGCCGGGGGTTCAGCCGAGCTGGAAGGAGGGCCGGTGTCCAGGGCTGGATCCCCGGGTCCAGCGTGGAATCAGGTGACCACAGGCCATCAGTCCATGGAGGGGAGCGTGCCCCCTCGCGCGCAAGAGAGGGAACCCCTTTGTTGAGGAGTCTGAATGTCTGGAATTTTCCCGCAGTGACCACACCTACTCTGGCCAATGACCTCTGTTCCCCAAGGTGACTGACAGGCCGGCACCTTCCCTAGGTCACCCCAACTTTCCTGGGCATGCGTCTGATCTTTCCTCTGCTCCTTTCCGGTTAATGAATGGCTGGGTTAATGTACAACGATATTAACGTATGGATCACTTTTTCAAAAATATTCAGGACAGTCCGAATGAAAACGGAAAATGCATAGCAACAAGTCCCATAATTTATCTCTCCATCTCCGGCTGTCCTGGCAGATGGTCTTTTTCCTTTGGTGTTTTTCCCCCTATGCATAATGCCGGTCATTCTGACCTTCCCAGACCAGCAGCTTCAAGCACAGATTCCGTCCTTTGGTTTGTGTTGATAGATACCTCTCTCCAGGGGGAGAGAGAGAGAGTGAGAGGGAGAGAGAGAGAGGACTCAGAGGAATATATTTTTCCTTTCAAACATCACCTACAGTTTTCATTCTTCATTTATTACACGCACAATACCACCTCGATAAAATCCTGCCTATGTACCCAAGTCCTAATGGATAAAAGTCATGATGAGAAAACTAAAAACAAACAAACAAACAAAACAAAACCCCAACACTTTTTAAGTGTTGGACACCTCAGCAGGTTTTGTATCTACTGCTGTCTACAACGTGTAGGAAAGACCGATGCTCCTATTTCTTCGGGGTGGCGCCGCTCCCCGGGAAGAAGTCTGTGTTCTGCTGGGGGGGGGGGCGGCTTCCATCCGGGGAGCCCCTGCTGTGTGGCCCTCATGTTTCTCAAGCTGAAGATGCAGCGGTACATGGGCTCCCTCGTCGACAGGGAGACCGTGGCTGATGGTCTTTGGGAAAAGAAGATGCTGAGTTTCAAGGTGTTGCCTGAGTCAGAGAGACAGGCCCGAGGGAAGGGAAGGGGGCTAAGGATCAGCAGAGCATTCTGAAGTGTGCGACCGTCCTACCAGGACAGGGCAGGATACGTTCAGAGTTGAGCACTAGGACAGGTGGCAGAGTCTGCAATGCCCAGCAGCTGTAGGTGGTGTCCCTGGGTCTGCAGCGACCGAGGACCCCTGAACATGGGGTGACAAAGCACCAGGTCAGGGATGGCCGTGAGTGACGGGGGGAGGGCCCGGAATAAGGACAGAGCCACAGCCGTTGCACGGTGATTCGCCTCACTAGCGGCACATAAGAGGGTTCTCACAGACCCCAGGACCCTGGAGGCTGTGTCCCAAGAGGAATGACAGGGCTGTAAACAGATAAGATGCCTCGGAGCCTGGATGGGCCCATTACTCAGAAAAGAGATGCATGTGAAGAACAGACCAAGGACAGGCCACGCTTTGAATTGGCGGCCGTGCCCGGACGCTGACCCCTCCGGAGTTCGCCTCAGGAATGCCGACCTTTCTCCGGGGAAGATGAGCCTCTGTCGTCAGACTCCGGGCTTCCGGAGGCCAGACCGCGGACCCTCCCTCCCCTCTCCCGGTTGTGTTCCCTGCGAGGGGCACAGCTCAGGCTGCATGTAGCCTTCTCTCTCACCCGTGTATAAGCAGCGCCGGGTGGGGGTCAGAGCAGAACTCCCAGGCAGGCTGCACCCCCATACCGCTGGAGCTTTGGGAATAAATGCTCACATACGATTCGACCTCGTCTCTGCTTAGTTCGGCTCAAAACGCGATAGGTGGCCTCGGACCTGCTTAGTGCCCAGTAGCGACAGGACTCAGCCAGGTGCCCAGGCCGTGACGAGAGTGACGGAGGTCTTAACACTCCAGGTTCCCTGTGGACGTCAGCGAACTCACCGTTCGGCGATTCACTCTCTCAAAGTATCCTCATGAACAAGGGTACGTCTGATGTCGTGTGGGGAAAGGCTTGAGAAGGATGGCTCAGAGTCCAGAAGCGATAAAGTGACAGCGCGATACGTTTGAGGACGCCAGAGATTTTGGAGAACTGCACGACAGGCTGTCGTAAGAGAAACTGGGAGAAAACATTCACGATGCACACGGACCCGTGGCTAACATCTGTCACGCGAAGAGCTCTAAAATTGAGGTTACGAAAGACCAAAAAATGATAGAAATAGGAGAAAAAGACACGAGCAGACAAGTCTCTGAAAAGATGTTGAGATAGTCCTTGAACAGATGAGAAAGTACCAAACAGGCAAAATGAGAGAAATACACTTTGAAACTAGACTGGGTTACTTCTCGCCTATGAGACTTGCCAAAAACAAAAAAGGAAGCCAAAAAAGGATGACACGTGCGTCGTGAGGCTGCGGGGAGATGGATGTTCTCATGCTTTGCTGGTGGGGATGCCAAGTGGTACAACCCTTTCAGAGGGAAATTTGGTGATACCTGGTAAAATACACACCTAACCTTTGACCCAGACCACTTCTTAGAAGATACACCTTTACAGATACAAAAATACACACGCAGAAGGTTGTATTCACCACCGCTTTGTAGTTACAACACACGAGGAACAATGTGTGGTTGAGTAAACTATGGTACATCCATACAATGGAATATGATACAGCTGTCAAAAAGAATGGCGGTCCCCATGAACGGATAGGGAGAGATTTCCAAACTGGAGCCACGCAAAGCCCAATAGACTACAGTGAAACCTCGGTTCTCGAACTTAATTAGTTCTGGAAGGCTGTTTGAAAACCGACGCATTTTTCCCATTAGAAGGAATGTAAATTGAATTAATCCATTTTAGACCCCCTCAAATGATTCCCTGTTTTAACCTTTCTCCTATACAGCACATGTGCAATGTTGTGTTTAGTCTATAAATAAACACTTTAAAAACAAAAAGGACACGACATGTAAATGACAAGTTAACAAAAAGGAAATGACTGTACCTATAGCGTGAGATCCGTCATATAAAAGAGGGACATGGGAAAACATACATGGACCTCCTCATGTGAGGACACAGAGAAATACAGGAAGCGTAACCCGGAAACCAGAGACTGGTTCACACCGGGGTGAGTGAAAAGAAGGGGGCTGCAAGCGAGGTCTCCGGGATGAGGAGGGGGCCCCGTTCCTCTGGGTGTGTTATTTTGGTATAATCCCCGGACTTAGACCGCAGCAGGGTTTTGAATACTCGTCACACCCCCAAAATAAGACAGACAATGAAGAACAACCAGGACGTGGGGGAAGTCGGAATGGAAGTTGTGACCACAGAAGAGTCTCTTCCAAACAGAGCGCAGCACTACGCTGAAGGGGGCGGGGGAGAAAGGAACCAACGGAAGAAACTTCTGGAAGCAGCATCTCGGCAGGGCACTACGAAGCTGAAGGCAGGAGGCGCTGGCTGCTGCGGTCTGGCGAGTCTGCTTTCCGGGGTGCGGGTGAGTCGTCCTGCAAGGTCTTAGGTGTGCACCAGGGTGGACGACTGTGCAGACATGCAGAGGTGCCTGAGAACCAGGGCCAGGTTCTCCCTGCTGGGGAATTAAGCTGCAAGCAAGAGGTGGACAAGGGCAAACCCAGGGGGGCTATCTGCTGACCTCTCGGGGGGCTTCCCTCGGGTGTCCTTGCGCAGAACGTGCTTCCATCAGAGGACAGATCCTGGGAGCAGTCTCTGCCCCTTGAGGTCCCCTGGCACTGCGCTCCGCCCTGAGACCTGGTTCATGGTCATTCGGACGGAAATGATCAGTTGTGTGTGTGTGTGTGTGTGTGTGTGTGTGTGACAGAGAGACAGAGACTGAGAACGCATGAAAAGTGTGCGTTTATTTATTTTGGTGTTGGTTCGTGCTCTCTCCCCATTTTTCTCCTTCTTTTTATTTACTCATTTATTTTAAAGAATCCATGCCAGGCTCTCTAAGAATCATCTCAGGGCAGAGATGAATTGGTAATAAAAAAAAAAAAAAGATTGAGGACAAATATAATTATCTGGACTTCACTGTATCTGAAAATAATCACGCGGCCCATTCCGATTGTGCTCATTGGAGCAATAAGCCAACGGGCAGATACATCATGTGGGGTCTTAGGAGTAAATTGGTGTGGCGAGGTTGCTTGTTCATCTTCCGAAGCTGAGGTGAGGGATTGAAAAGCTTCCCAACAAAAACAGCCTCTGGAAAAAAAAAAAGCTGAGACTTGCTGTTCTGGCTCCTAACCTTTCCTGGCTAAAAATATGTGTATCTATATAGCATTTTTAATGTCAAATAATACACGTTTTCTGAATCTTCCTATATGCTTAGCATGGTGGATAATCTAAAAATATAAAAGACCCTCCGAGGCTTAGCAAAGTGTCTGGCACATTGTGGACACTCATACATATTGATGTGTAAGAAATAGATGGATAGATGGATGGATGGTTGGACGGACACATGGAGCCCAGTCTAATCGCCAATGGGCTGTTGGTTGGGGTCAATACACCTTCAACTCAGACAGCATTTATAGAATTGTATTATCACTTTTTTTTTATGTGGATCTTAAATTGCACAGT